GTTTGGAACAACTTGTTGACAATTTGTAACAACCCTGTTGATATTATCAGGCTTGTTACAAGATTGTTCCAACAAGTCCGATACATTCATGATATAGCAGTATTGTTACAACCTTGTGTCGTCAACCTTGTAACATTCTTGTTTATCATGACTGTATCAGACTTGTTAGAACAACCTTGTAACAAATCTGATAATGCCATCAGGCTTGTTATAAGTTGTTAACAGCTTGTTGCAAACTTGTTATAACAACTGGGAATTGTTTTAATCATAAAATGGATTTCTATTTGACAACTAGGGCTAGTATTTTTCCGCGTATCAAGATCACCTGGCTTGTAACAACTTATGCGTTTTTACGTGTGTATTTCACAGTACAGACCGAACAAGCGAGGTCAATAATCGGTTTATTATACGGCTGAACTGAGTCTGTGAGCATATTATGCTTTTCGCGCGAATTAAATCGGCTATCGTCAGTTTCACTGGGTAACAATATACGGTAGGCATGCATGCATGCTCAATCAAAACCAATTTGGTTGTTTGAAATTTTTATCTGTAAATATTAACGACACACAATTGGAAAATTAAAAAGCAAACGTTTTTTCTGTTTGCAAAACAAAAATTTCCCGCCAGATAAACGACATCCAGGACACCGGTCCAGATACGGAAAATACGGACCACGGTCCGGATATGGGTTTTTACGGACCGCTTGTCAACCAATCAGAATAGAGAATTTTGAAAAGCCATATAATAATAGTTCTTATACGATACAGCTGTGATGGAAATTAGTCAAATGACCTGCAGAGCTTCTCGATCCTTCGCGAAGTTAAAGACATGTTAACGGGACACGTTTCAGGTACCTGGACTTACGAAAAAGAAAAAATCACCGAATGACGGTGCGTCAACGAGAAAGGAAAAGAAAATAGTATGTCTGGAAAATTTTTTGCTGCTTCCCGCCAATATTTTCGGGAAAAGAAATATTAATTAGTGGCTGAGACGAGTGACGAGTCGGCAAAATTACACTTACACCCCTCCATTAAACCAAGGCTAACGACGCTCCTGCAAGCCGTCTGCATCGTTGTTTCCCCCTTTCCAAACGCCCGGCGATGGAAGCCGTGTTTTTTCGCGGGAAAACATTTATATGAATTTTCATAATTATCATCAATGATAAAGGCAAACAGCCCTATACTTCCAGCCACACCTTCAGAACATAATTTGAAACAGCAGAACAGAATTTGAAACAGCAGAACAGAATTTGAAACAGCAGAACAGAATTTGAAACAGTAGAACAGAATTTGAAACAGCAGAACAGAATTTGAAACAGCAGAACAGAATTTGAAACAGCAGAACAGAATTTGAAACAGCAGAACAGAATTTGAAACAGCAGAACAGAATTTGAAACAGCATAACAGAATTTGAAACAGTAGAACAGAATTTGAAACAGCAGAACAGAATTTGAAACAGTAGAACAGAATTTGAAACAGTAGAACAGAATTTGAAACAGCAGAACAGAATTTGAAACAGCAGAACAAAATTTGAAACAGTAGAACAGAATTTGAAACAGCAAAACAGAATTTGATGTTGAATTCTATTTTGTTGTTTCAAATTTTGTTTTGTCGTTTCCCGAGGTCTCAGAAGAAGGCCGAGGGAACATATTCTTAGGACGGACCGACCTAAATGGTAAATAACGTGTTTATTTTTTTATTTGATGGTTCATGCTTACAACGAAATTCCGATAAAATTCCAGTTGCGAAGTACATTTGAGATCAGTTGCGCTTGTTACTTTAGTGCAAACATGGCTGACAAACTGCTAAAACTACGAGCTGTATTCTACCTTAACTGCATCAGGCACTTGAACAACTGATGAAACATTTATACATAGGGGATATAAGACTGCGCGAATTAAGATATGGACTTTGATTTCGCGTTGGGTTTGACGTCTGCGTTGCATGATCGCGGGAATCACATGATATAGTTAGTCATTATATATTATTCACTTTCTTCCTTGGCAACAAATCACAACCTTTACCTGTGCTGGTTGGTTCATCGTCATCTTTGTTTTTCAAAGCAATCATATCGACAGATTTACCACGCTTTTTCAGTCTTCGAACTTTGTTGGCTTTTTTGTTATAAAAGGAAAAAACAAAAAATAAAGATTTTGATAGTTGCCTACAACCAAGCAAAGTTATGGTAGTAATAATTATAACAACAATAACAATAAAGATGAGGACAGGGATAAGGATGACAGAATGTGATAATTCGCGTACTTACGTACCGGAAGAACGCCAATATTACGGTCTGGTACTTCTTTGTTTTCAACCATGCAAGTAGCACGTGTAGGTACGCGGAACTCTTGCTATCTGCGTACTTACATTTTGCTGGTACCACATGACCTTTCCAAACGCAAAGTATTGAAAACCGCAATTTAAGTTTGTATGTGCAACTCTGACATATCTTGGCATGATTGCACTGATGAGAGTTAACTGTATGTTTGTGTAACTATGTAATTGTTCTCCTTGTTCTAACTCGTAGTTACGTTACTGAATGAATACCTTTCAGAAACCCGTACTATATATGGACTTCATTTTGAGGATTAAGTACACCTTGAGTCTTAAGTCGTACCAGTTCAAGTAGGCGGCAAAAAACATAATTAGAGTACCAGTCAGGTACGAATTATCGCACCCTGGATGAAAAGATAAAAGTAATGAAAAGAATAAGAACAACAATATGGTTAACGACAACACTAAAGATTACAATAAGGATGAGGATAAAAACGAGGATGAGAATAAGGATTAAGACAAAAATGAGGAAAAGGATGAAGATGGGGACAGAGATATGGAAAACAATAATAATAATAATAATAGTGATGATTATTATTACACATAGAGCTTTCTTTAGATGACATTGGCTTCTTTCTTTTCCGTGTTGGTTTTTGTGAAGCAATGGTGTCTATAACAAAAGACAAGATAGAATTTTCTTCAGAATTTTTTTTATTTTAAAAGGTTGGTAAACCATGAAACATTGTTTCTAAGCCATGTTTCTCGAAGCTGAGCAAACCAGGAAACAATGTCTGCTACAGCCTTCTTCTCGAAAGTGGACAAACAAGAAACAATTATTTCTGCTAAAAAATCACATGGAGAAACAAAATATGTTTCTGAATTTATTGGGAAATATGTTTGCTTCGTAAGAACTGTTTCCAAAGCTCGACAAACAGCGAAACATTCAAGAAAACTTCAAGATTTTCAAGTGTTTCCTAATTTGCCTATAGGCTTTTGCCTCTTAATAAACATGATGGCACGTGTAGTTGACCAACCATTGCAAGAGCCGGAATAACCAGAGGCGAAACAAATGACAACTTAAGTTTAAGACCTGATTCCACGACGGCGAAATTCTTCGTGAGAAATTGTGTCTGCGAAATACGGATGGCTGCACATGAGTGATTCTATTGAATTTTCCCACTTTTTCCGCTTTCGCAGTGACTAGAACTGACTTAAATCTACACTGCTGAAGCGAAATTATTTCTTGCGAAGCTTAATTTATCTTTACTGCGCATACACCTAATTCATTTCGCGCGAAATTTCTCGCATTTCGCCGAAGAAAACGCCCGTGGAAACAGGCCTTAATACCCATTGCAAAAACTGTATTGAAAACTTAGATGTTTCCAGTAGTGATCTCCGTTATGTACATTTAAGTCTGACACCTAACTCTATCCCCATAGTAGTGCACGAAGCATGCAAAGTTTGTATAACTTTTTAGAGCCACGACAAACCATAGCGTGTCATAAGTGTGTCAAGCATAGAAAAACTACATTCACAGAAACATAAAAATGTTAAAAAGGATTTCCTGCAACTTTTAACGAAGCGTTTCAGATTTAAATTTTACATTAAATTAAAGCTCACAAAATGCAAAACAACACAAAAATATTTCTTTCCTGCAAGCATGTGATTATGAAACTATGCTGTCTTAGATTGTCGTAACTGCAGGTGCTGTCAAGGCCGCCCAGAGGGATGGAGGGGGCAATTTGCCCTGGGACCCCAGTTAAAGGAAGACCCAAATAAAAATTACAGTAAAATATAAATATAGATATAACTTTCAACAGACTTCCAGAATGCAGGATTTCACCATCTCTGGGACCTCAGATTTCAAAACTTTCCGGGACAATGCCTCCGGACTCTCCTAATCATTGTGTTAGAAGATGGAATCACGAGGGGGCCAAGACATTTTTGTCCTGGGCACCCAAATTTCCCTGAGTGCTGTTCAGTGTATGTTGGTTTTGACATTTTTGAATATCAATGGTAGCCTGTTTTGTGGTTACACATTATTATAAGGGTGTGTTAAGATATTTTCAGGGCGTGCTTCTGCTCGGCTAAACTTTGCACAAAAATGTGCAAGTATAAAAAAATTAATAAATTAGGTATGATATAAAACCATGTGTCAGTTAATAAAACAACACAGAAAACAAAACAGCATTCATTGTCAAGATTGAAGACACTAGAGTTGAGTGTCAAAACGTTGGGTCGTGAATGCAGTTCAACTGGGCTTTGCATTCATTTATCAAAACCATAAATTATTTGTCAATAGTGCTCACAAAATCAATTTGGAAAAACAGCCTAAATCGAATACAATTGCCAATTGGTCAACCCCGGGAACTAGGTTCGTTTCTCCTGGCTAAACAAAGTGTGCAATTACAATCTACAATTACAAAACACTGCAATTAATGCTCAAATTGCATTCAAGTGCAATTGGCGATAATTTCAATTGCACTAATATTATATCAATTAATCAGATTGCAGCAACTGAGCCTGATTAACAAAGGATATATCACCATAATACTAAAATAAATTATACAACTTATATTCAATAATTAGGCAATTTATCTAATTGTTAAATATGATTTAAGAATTGTCAACTAACCATTTGAACACGGGCAAAGTAAAAACACCTTTAGCATTAGCCACTTACCAGTATTGAGCCAAATTTTTACACTCTTTATCTCAAACTTCGTGGTCGAGTTGTTCGACCGGCAAACTACAAAAGATTGATCGTTGTAGAATCTCTGAAGGTCACTAAGCTTCCAGAAGTGGCGGTGCCCACAACGGTCTGAATCACACTCGATTGCATTATGACGAGAACATTCTCTTTCTTCTTTACCGAAGCAGCAGGTACATTTCACTTCGAAGTCATAGCTGGTCATACTGAATAATAGTTGATCTGGAGATTTAAGGTCGTCCAAGCACTTTTTCAAGGTGGCTTTGAAATGACTGGCAAACTTAAAATGGTTGCCATCTTGTTTTGGAAAAACGGCAACCTTGATGAACTCGTGGAGGTCGATTAAATGAACATCATACACGTCGTCTTCTATTATAAACAGAAGCGAGGAGTAGTTGCAGTAGAATGAAGGCGTGGCTTGTTGATGGGGGAACCGCTTTTCACACTCAGAAATTAACCTCACTTGAAGCTTCGTAAACAGGCCCATCGGTACAAGTTTGCGAGGAAATGTCACAAACAGCGATGGAACATTGCTAGCTTCCAACTCTTTTCCTGGTTTCATAGCTGGTGCAACTGAAGGGACATAAAAAGCAGCCTTTCCCTCGTGCTGGCAAGAACAAATCAAATTAAACTTTTGCATAAGCTCCTCTAAAAGTTCCGCGTCTTTCAGCGTCTGAAGATATTCTCGAAACAAAATGCACTTCCGTTCAAAGACATCAAGAGCGTGCCTGGACAAGGCATCCAATTGGCCAGGCATGGAGATCACATCCGTGAAGCGATTCATTAGCCAGTGAGGATCCAATACAACCTTGCTGGATCCACTGTGGTGTACGACCACACCTTGGCGGTGTAGAAATTTGATAGCTTGATCAAACTCCCCAACGCCACAGGCCTCCGCTTCCTGCTTAGCTTCGTCAACTGGGATATACTTGCAATCTGGTGATAGCTTCTGTCTTAGAGCAACTTCAAAATTTAGCCACTTCACAGGCATTAAAATCTCCTGGTTAAGGACTGCATTCGAGTAGTCAAAAAGCTCTCTACGAAGCTTTCGCACGTCGTCTCCGTCGTCGCCTTCCAATGTATTGTCGATCAGCAAAACCCCAGGAATGACATTCTCATAGTCACTTGCAGACACGACATTTTCGATTCTCTTCTTTACGCTAAGTATTTTGGCGTCGTTGCCTTTCACCTTATCACTGTGAGTTAAGGCTATTAATACTGGTGGGCGTTTAAAATTACGACCGTCTGCAGTAGTACGGTGACCAGTTTCATCAGGGAACTGTTGATCTTGGTATTCTCCTAAACCTTGCAAAAGCTTCAACCATGATGTAAAATTATCTAAATTGGTATTAAGATGAGGATTGTTCATCTCTATCTCTTTCTTTTCATAACTTGCTTTAAACCTGGGAACGGCGGGTTTATCAAACTCCAGAGAAAGGTTGTGAACCAAAACATAAGGGCAATGCGGTTTCACAAAGCAGCCATGGGTATCGTAATAGATTGACTGTCCAGCAAAGTCACTTACAAATACCCGAAGAACCTCTTTCTGGTCGTGTACAGTGGAACTCTGCGATTTGATTTTGGAGATTTCTTCTGTTAATAATGGGCTTAATGGCTTCACTGGCAATGGCTTCACTGGCATCACTGACTTCACTGGCATCACTGGCGTCAATGGCTCTGGCGCATCCCCTTCTAAATTCCTCTGAACGCCTCTATCAAAGTACTCCACCGTTTTTTTGTATATCACAGTCTTTGCCTCACCTTCATTGGCCATAAACTCTTTCACTTCTCTCTTTTTCCAGGGATCTTCTGCATTTTGTTCTGTTAGCTCGATAACATTAACGTCAATCCCAGTGGTACTGGGTTGATCTTTGTTGAATGGTAATCCCAAAAGACGTCTCATCAGCGAAGTCTTTCCGCCTCGGTCTTGCCCGATCAGCATAATCGGAATTCGATTATTTTTTGCTTTACCTTCTTGGAGAGCTTCCGAATATGCACGGGTATATTCTTCCACTTCTGACAAAATAAAGTTAAAACAAGATTTAGCACTATGTAAAATGAAACACGATCGAAATCTGACGAGAAAACAATATATTCTTGTGAACAGAGCAAAATACTTATAGCCTGCCTAAACAAGCCAGCCCGAGCCATTGCGTTTCTATGGAAAATTTCCCAGCCTGGGCACCCTTAAATCAGGTCGGCTTGGGTACCCGGGCTGGCTCGCCTCATCTCTCAAAAGAGCATTTGATATGTTTTAATCTGATCATGCAGCCAAACACATCTCCAATTACACAGTACAACTCAAGTTGTAAGCACGTTGCATGCAACAGTTTTAAGAAAGGTTTCCATATATGGTTGTAACAGTCATAAAAGATAAAGTTACGATCTTTCTCATCAACCAGATTATAATAGTTTTTATACCTGTAAACCACATTTCAATCATACATATTCTCTATATATTATCACTCTGCCTACTTTCAGTTGTATTTCAGCTGTTGAAAAAGATCGTGACTCAATCTTTACGACCGTTACGACCATAAGGAAACCAGGCTTTGGGCAAAAGTTGTGTAGTGTAAATTGGCCTTCAGACAAATAATGCATCACCCAAAAATTTTAGTTATACGCTTGACTTTAGTTAGCTTAATTCACATAAAATTGAAAGACCTTTATTGGACGTCTATTGAATGTCCATTCTTAGCAGGATAAAAGCAGAAACAAAGCAAAGAACAACAGCTAAAGTCTCATTGCACAACATGCTTAATTGTTTACTTTCCAGGTTGGAAAACTTGCATCAAATTCCTAGGCGTAGCTGCGAGTGATCTGGATTGATCAGTTGCGAGCCGCGAGGGGATCTATAATCTAATGCGAGCTACGAGCAAATTTAACCAAAGCCAATCAAACCCTAATACAACGTTAAACATGTATTTTAGTCTAGAAAAAATTTGATATGAAGAACATTCCATCACAACATCATTGGATATTTGATTTAATTTAATTTATCTTTAATATTCACTATTCAAAATTACTGTGAAAAATGGCTTTCAGCTATATATAGCTAGGGCTTGTATAAAATGAAATATAATCTCAACCAAATGGCCCTCTATAAAGCGTCCCCCGCATGTCCTCAGCATGACGACGGTAGAATTTAATGCCGGACTTATATGCAATCTTATTATATATATAGAAGAGAGTGAGATACTGAAAAATACACAGTGAGATATTTTCCATATCTTCACTAGTGAAGATATCGATCACGTGACTTTTTCCAATTTGCTTTTGAGCGTGAAATATCAATTTTTTTACTTGGGACTATATAATAAACCGAACATTACACCATGGCTTGAAGATATGACTGTTATCTTCTCGTGTTATATTGTTTTCACCACTCGAAGATAAAAGTCATATCTTCGCCCGCCGTGTAATATCCTCTATATATCAGCTAATATTGGGTCTAAAATATATAAAGAAGAACCAATAGAGACGTCGTCTTTCTCCTCGTAGGATGCTTAATGCAGCTGTGTGAATTCTTATTTATTCCCTTTCTTTTATCCTGTTGTTCGTTTGTCGTTATAATGCCACGGGCATGGGCATGGCGGAGGGATTGGTAATCCTAAAAGACTTCTCATCAGCGAAGTCTTTCCGCCTCAGCCTTGCCCGATCAGCAAAATCGGAATTAGATTATTTTTTGCTTTACCTTTTAAGCGAGCTTCCTCTCGACGTCTTTCCTCTCGACGTCTTTCCTCTTCAAGCTCTTGACAAAATAAAGTTTACACAAAATTCAGCACTACGTAAAATGAAATATAACATTCATCAAATGACCCTCTATAAAGCGTTTCCCCCTCTACCAAACGCCCTGCCCTAAACGTGTAAGAATATTCTTTGAAGTGTTTAAAACAAAAAATTTGAATTATTGCCTACTATTTTAGGAGGATTAATCTTTACGACCGTTACGACCCTAAGGAAACCAGGCTTTGGGCAAAAGTTGTGTTGTGTAAATTGCCCTTCGACACATGATGCAACATCCAAAAATTTTAGTTATACACTTGACTTTCCATTCACATAAAATTGAAAGACCTTTATTGGACGTCTACCGATTGTCCATCCTTAGCAGGATAAAAGCAGAAACAAAGCAAAAAACAGCAGCTAAAGTCTCATTGCACAACATGCTTAATTGTTTACTTCCCAAGTTGGAAAACTTGTATCAAATTCTTAGGCGTAGCTGCGAGTGATCTGGATTGATCAGTTGCGAGCTGCAAGTGGACCTATAATCTGATGCGAGCTGCGAGCAAATTTAACCAAAGCCAATCAAACCCTAACACAACGTTAAATATGTATTTTAGTCTAGAAAAAATTTGATATGAATATCAATATTCATATCAATATTTAATATTCAATATTCAAAATTACTGTAAAAAATGGCTCTTTCAGCTATATATAGCTAGGGCTTGTATAAAATGAAATATAATCTCCACCAAATGACCCTCTATAAAGCGTTCCCCGCCTCTACCAAGCGCCCTGCCCTAAACGTGTAAGAATTTTGCTTAAACCATCACTCTTAAGTTCATTGTAGATTTGTAGTTCCATAACTATTACTTCAAAAGGATTAAAGTCACGGGACCTCTTAGTGCAAGTTGCCTGTTGTTAATTAATTGACTCCTTTTATTTTTTTTATTAGCCTGGACTAAATTTTGTGTAGATGACATCATCAGGTTGTTTTGTACAAGCCACTTATACAGGCCCAGTGTGCGCATATTAAAGTACTTTTCCATCGGACCTCCAAAATATGCACCAACACCATTTTATTCAACAAATAGATTTCGAAAATTACTTCTGCACGCCCTGGAAAGACTTTCCTTTTGGTAGAAGAAAATCACTCATAAAGAAGCTAAAACGTAAACATTTTTCGAATGCTGATCGGATTTTTACGGAAAACATCAATGCGGGACTCGCATATTTTAAAATCAAGAAATGTATTGAACCATCGGGAAAAGTATTAACCGTACATTTAAAATATAGACGAATGTCCTCAGCATGACGACGGTAGAATTTAATGCCGGACTTATATATAATTTTTATTATATAGAAGAGAGTGAGATACTGAAAAATACACAGTGAGATATTTTCCATAGCTTCACTAGTGAAGATATCGATCACGTGACTTTTTCCAATTTGCTTTTGAGCGTGAAATTTCACAATTTTTTGCGTGGACTATATAATAAAACGAACATTACACCATGGCGTAAAATATTGTTTTCACCACTCGAAGATAAAAGTCATATCTTCGCGCCGCCGTGTAATATCCTCTATATATCAGGTAATATTGGGCCTAAAATATATAAAGCGAGCTTCCTTTCTACGTCTTTTCTCTTCAAGCTCTTGACAAAATAAAGTTAACACAAAATTCAGCACTACGTAAAATGTAATATAACATTCATCAAATTCCCCTCTATAAAGCGTTCCCCCTCTACCAAACGCCCTGCCCTAAAGGTGTAAGAATATTTTTTGAAGTGTTTAAAACAAAAAATTTGAATTATTACCTATTATTTTAGGAGGATTAATCTTTACGACCGTTACGACCCTAAGGAAACCAGGCTTTGGGCAAAAGTTGTGTAGTGTAAATTGCCCTTCGACACATGATGCAACATCCAAAAATTTTAGTTACACACTTGACAATAGTTAGCAAAAGCAACAGCTAAAGTCTCATTGCGCAACATGCTTAAATTGTTTACTTCCCAGGTTGGAAAACTTGCATCAAATTCCTAGGCGTAGCTGCGAGTGATCTGATTGATCAGTTGCGAGCTGCAAGTGGACCTATAATCTAATGCGAGCTACGAGCAAATTTAACCAAAGCCAATCAAACCCTATACTAACACAACGTTAAATATGTATTTTAGTCTAGAAAAAATTTGATATGGAGAACATTCCATCATTGGATATTTGATTTCATTTAATTTATCTTTAATATTCAATATTCAAAATTACAGTGAAAAATGGCTTTCAGCTATATACAGGGTGTATCAAAAAAAGCGCAATCCTCGACTGAAATGTAAATTGCTAAACAAATAATAGACGAAAACTTTAAAGTTTACATTCATTTTAAAGCGTAGCCGTTCAGCTTTCTAACGGTGGGTTGTTTCTTAGATTTGACTCATTGGTTCGCGGGTAATAATACTTTACGTTATTGCGATTGGATATTAAAAAAATTGAGATGGAATAACAAATCGTTCTCATGAAAATAACTGATTTTTTCATTAAAACAAAAAAATGTTGCATTTTATTAAATGGATTGTAACAATAAGTATAATTACGGCTTTTCTTCCAGTATTTTTAACTCAGTTTGAAACTTCAAATGCGATATAATTTTGGCTTGGACCATCTAAGCTGACTGACATCAACTTGCTATAATTTCTGTTTACATTACATCGCAATTCGATGACACTCTGGCTCAGACACCAGAATGTTTTGACGATTTTTAGCATTCGTTTAGGATTTTCAAACAACCTGGTCTCTTTTCAAATACTTTTAATTTGTTCTTACGTGGTTTTCCAGATGTAGTGACGACAACATTAAAGTTTAAAGAAGAAAATTCTAACATTTAAACTGACTAAACAATAACATAGTAAACTTGCATAATTAAACAGCAACTAAAAATGATAGGTTTTACTAAATCTTTTCCTGTGCAATTATTACTAGCATTGGAGACAAGGATAATAGTTTGTTTGAAAGAGAAAAGAACAGGCTTTGAAGTAAGCCTAAAAGCGTTTAACTAGAATTCTAGAAATAGTATTTCGAAAGTTATTAAGCACAAAAGATGAATTGCGTTTTTTTTTATAACCCTGTATAGCCAGGGCTTGTATAAAATGAAATATAATCTCCACCAAATGCCCCTCTATAAAGCGTTCCCTGCCTCTACCAAGCGCCCTACCCTAAACGTGCAAGAATTTTGCTTATTAAACCATCACTCTGTAAGTTCATTGTAGATTTGTAGTTCCATAACTACTATTTCAAAAGGATTAAAGTCACGGGACCTCTTAGTGCAAGTCGCCTGTTGTTAATTGGCTCCTTTTATTTTTTTATTAGCCTGACTACTAAATTTTGGGTAGATGACATCATCAGGTTGTTTTGTACAAGCCACTTACACAGGCCCAGTGTGCACAGATTAAAGTACTTTTCCATCAAACCTCCAAAAATATGCACCAACACCATTTTATTCAACAAATAGATTTCGAAAATTACTCCTGCACGCCCTGGAAAGGCTTTCCTTTTGCTAGAAGAAAATCACTCATAAAGAAGCTAAAACGTAAACATTTTTCGAATGCTGATCGGATTTTTACGGAAAACATCAATGCTGGACTCGCATATTTTAAAATCAAGAAATGTATTGAACCATCGGGAAAAGTATCAACCGTACATTAAATATAGTCGAATGTTCTCAGCATGGCGACGGTAGAATTTAATGCCGGACTTATACATAATTTTATTATATAGTAGAGAGTGAGATGCTGAAAAATACAGTGAGATATTTTCCATATCTTCACTAGTGAAGATATCGATCACGTGACTTTTCCCAACTTGAATTTTTCTGTGTTGGTGTAATGTACTCAGGTGAATATGATGTTTTGTGATGTTACTCTGAGTGCATATCCACACCGGGCAAGCTTGAAAAATATGCTTGGCCACGGTGGGAATTCTAATTTGCTTTCGAGCGTGAAATTTCACAATTTTTTGCTTCGGACTATATAATAAACAGAACATTACACCGTAGCTTGAAGATATGACTGTTATCTTCTCGTGTTAAAAACAATATTTTACTCACTCACTGCGCTCGTTCGTAAAATATTGTTTTCACCACTCGAAGATAAAAGTCATATCTTCGCGCCACCGTGTAATATCCTCTATATATCAGCTAATATTGGGCATAAAATATATAAACAAGAACCAATAGAGACACCGTCTTTCTCCTGGTAGAATGTTTAATGCAGTTGTGTGAATTCTTATTTATTCCCTTTCTTTTATCCTGTTGTTCGTTTGTCGTTATAATGCCACGGGCATGGGCATGGCGGAGGGATTGGTAATCCTAAAAGACTTCTCATCAGCGAAGTCTTTCCGCCTCAGCCTTGCCCGATCAGCATGATCGGAATTGGATTATTTTTTGCTTTACCTTTGAAGCGAGCTTCCTCTCTACGTCTTTCCTCTTCAAGAAGCTCTTGACAAAATAAAGTTAACACAAAATTCAGTACTACGTAAAATGAAATATAACATTCATCAAATGACCCTCTATAAAGCGCTCCCCCCTCTACCAAACGCCCTGCCCTAAACGTGTAAGAATATTTTTTTGAAGTTTTTAAAACAAAAAATTTGAATTATTACCTACTATTTTAGGAGGATTGATCTTTACGACCGTTACGACCCTAAGGAAACCAGACTTTGGGCAAAAGTTGTGTAGTGTAAATTGGTCTTCGACACATGATGCAACATCCAAAAATTTTAGTTATACACTTGACAATAGTTAGCTTAATACACATAAAATTGAAAGACCTTTATTCGACGTCTACTGATTGTACATTATAAAATAACATGTATATAACGCGTTTTCTGATTGGTCGAAAGCCGTGTTTGGATCAGGCCATCCAAACACGGAAGACTACCGTGTTGTTGTTATTTTATAAAACAATTACTTTATGGTTTCCGTGTTTGGATGGACTGATCCAAACACTTGGGAATGTTGCTCGAGTTAAGAAAAGCGGGCAAAATCACTCGCCTTCGGCTCGTGATTTCGCTCGCTTTTCTTAACTCTCGCAACATTCCCGCGTGTTTGGATCAGGCCATCCAAACACGGAAACCATAAAGTAATTGTATATTCTTAGCAGGATAAAAGCAGAAACAAAGAAAAAAAAACAATAGATAAAGTCTCATTGTGCAACATGCTTAATTGTTTACATCCCAGGTTGGAAAACTTGCATCAAATTCCTAGGCGTAGCTGCGAGTGATCTGGATTGATCAGTTGCGAGCCCCGAGTGGACCTATAATCTGATGCCAGCTGCGAGCAAATTTAACAAAGCCAATCAAACCCTAACACAACGTTAAATATGTATTTAGTCTAGAAAAAAATTGATATGAATATCAATCAATATTCATATCAATATTTAATATTCAATATTCAAAATTACTGTAAAAATAGCTTTCAGCTATATATAGCTAGGGCTAGTATAAAGTGAAATATACTCTCCACCAAATAGCCCTCTATAAAGCGTTCCCCGCCTCTACCAAGCGCCCTGCCCTAAACGTGTAAGAATTTTGCTTAAACCATCACTCTGTATGTTCATTGTAGATTTGTAGTTCCATAACTACTATTTCAAAAGGATTAAAGTCACGGGACCTCTTAGTGCAAGTCGCCCATAGGCGTACGGGGCGGGGGGGGGGTAGCCCCCCAGTTTTTTGGGCAGTTGGGCAATATCCCAGTTTTTTGGGCAGATTCGGCAAATTTTTGGGCAATTTTGGTTTGCAATTAAAAAAAATGGGACAAATTCTGTCAATTTTGTATAAAATTAAGTAAATTTTTTGGCAAATTTTGTGATTTTTGGAAAATTTGTGTTATGTTGACCCCTAAAATGGTACACTGACCGAAAATGGTACACTGACCGAAATCGCCAAAATAATTTTTCCGGAAAAATTTTTTTGACATTTTTTGGGCAATGTGGAATTTTTTGGGCAAAAAAGCTACCGCCCCCCCAGAATTTAGCGGCCCCGTACGCCTATGAAGTCGCCTGTTGTTAATTGGCTCCTTTTATTTTTTTTATTAGCCTGAACTAAATTTTGGGTAGATGACATCATCAGGTTGTTTTGTACAAGCCACATATACAGGCCCAGTGTGCACAGATTAAAGTACTTTTCCATCAAACCTCCAAAAATATGCACCGACACCATTTTATTCAACAAATAGATTTCGAAAATTACTCAATCACGCCCTGGAAAGGCTTTCCTTTTGCTAGAAGAAAATCACTCATAAAGAAGCTAAAACGTAAACATTTTTCGAATGTTGATCGGATTTTTACGAAAAACATCAATGCCGGACACGCATAATTTAAAATCAAGAAATGTATTGAACCATCGGGAAAAGGTATCAACCATAATTTTAAAATATGGTCGAGTGTCCTCAGCACGACAACGGTAAAATTTAATAATGCTGGACTTATATATAATTATATCAGCAAATATTGAGCATAGCATATATAAAGAAGAACCAATAGAGACGTCGTCTTTCTCCTCGTAGGATACTTAATGCAGCTGTGTGAATTCTTATTTATTCCCTTTCTTTTATTCTGTTGTTCGTTTGTCGTTATAATGCCACGGGCATGGGCATGGCGGAGGAATTGGTAATCCTAAAAGACGTCTCATCAGGGAAGACTTTCCGCCTCGGCCTTGCCCGATCAGCATAATCGGAATTCGATTATTTTCTGCTTTACCTTTCTCGAGAGCTTCCAGACGACGTATAGCCTCGTCCTTATCTTGACAAAATAAAGTTAGAAGAAGATTTAGCACTACGTAAAATGAAATATAACCTCCATCAAATGACCCTCTATAAAGCGTTCCCCCTCTACTAAGCACCCTACCCTAAACGTGTAAGATATCTTTTTTGAAGTTTTTAAAACAAAAAATACGAATTTTTGCTTAAAACATCACTCTGTATATTCAAGGTTACGTGACCTCTTAGTGCAAGTTGCCTATCGTTAATTGGCCCCTTTTATTTTATTAGACACTAGGAGCGGCCGAGACAGCCCGGGTCATCGCGTTTGTATGGAAAATTCCCCAGCCTGGGCACCCTAGATCTCGGGTCAGTCGAGGCGGGATCTCGCTTAGGCTAGCCAGCTCGGTTCCCATATAAACTTCAAATGAAATTTAGTAGGACATAATAACAAAAGCAAGATTTTACCCAAACCAGGCCGGCTTGGGTACCCGGGCTACTATGCAACTTGTCTTGCAACTTGTCTCGCAATTTTGTTGCAGCAAGTGTTGCACGAAGTAGAATCAGGTTCTACTTTTCGCAACGTTTCCTGCAACAAAAATGTTGCGAGACTTGTATGTTACACGTTGCAATTTTTTGTAATGTATGTTAACCTTGCAATTACGACACAAGTTGCAAGACAAGTTGCATAGTGCATCAGCGCTTTAAGGGCATTTGATATGTCTTAATCTGATCATGCAGCCAATTACACAGTACAACTCAAGTTGTAAGCACGTTGCATGCAACAGTTTTAAGCCAGGTTTCCATATATGGTTGTAACGATCATATAAGATAAAGTTACGATCTTTCTCATCAGCCAGATTATAATTAGCCATTTCCCACTCGAGCAGAGGACTGGGTCTACTTGATGTTTGGAGGGACGTTTCGAGGGACAACAAGTTATAGTGAGCGAGCTAAATATATATTAAAAGATTCCTTTTTAAAATTGTTGCGTTTCAGGCTGCACAAATCACTTTAGGAATGTAGGAAAACTTCCTAGATGCCATATTCGGCATATTGTTTATTTTTTGTCCCTCCAAACAAGCGACTAGACCTAGTCCTCCGCTCGATTTGAAAAGGGTAATAGTTTTTACCTATAAACCACATTGAAATTATACATTCGGCTGTTGAAAAAGATCGTGACTCAATCTTTACGACCGTTACGACCATATGGAAACCAGGCTTTGGGCAAAAGTTGTGTAGTGTAAATTGGCCTTCAGACAGATAATGCATCACCCAAAAATTTCAGTTATTTTAGATTTTAAATTTTAGTCACATAAAATTGAAAGATCTTTATTGGATGTCTATTGGTTGTCCATTCTTAGAAAAATAAAAGTAGAACATGTTTAATTGTTTACTTCCCATGTTGGAAAACTTGTATCAAATTCCTACGCGTAGCAAGTGATCTGGATTGATCAGTTGCGAGCCGCTAGTGGACCTATAATCTGATGTGGGCTGCGAGCAAATTTAACCAAAGCCATCGTGTCAAAGTAAAGGTTATTTCCGAAGGAAATTTTTTCACGACGTTTTTACGATAATTTTCCGCTTTTCGACGGTTTGTTGATAATAGCAATGTCAAATTCAAACAAATTTTTCAAAACGTGACGTCCGACATTTTTCCTGTCTTGAAGAATTTTTTTCTTTTGCCTCCCCCCCTGGTAAATTCCTTAAAAAGGCACTGACAGCTACTCTTTAAAAAATAGGTACGCAATGCGTACATGTTGCATGCCCTCCCTCCTCCACAGAGGCTTTTGCCTTTCTTTTCCTTCACTCTTTTCCACCCATGCTCCTTCGCTCAGTGGATCGGCCCTTGTTCCAAGATCCCCCATGTAAAGTGTAGTGAAATGTATCCCATCGTGATAAATCATAAGACAACTAAAGCCCGGAATAGATACTGGACCAGAAGTGTCACCCAGACAATATTTTGTCCGAAGTTTTACGAGTGCTGACGAGAAAATACACCACCATATGACGCCATCCTGGAGTGCACATGGAAGTTTTTCACAGGACAAACATAGGTACAAAGTGCTTTGTGCACTCCAGGATGGCGTCATAGCACGGAAAAATTTTGAACGTTTTCCCAAGCCAAAACACATAGGAATGTCTCTTCTGGTCTGGTATCTTTCTGTGACTAAAGCCTCTGCGGAGGAGAGAGTTGCATTCAGGCCCGCCCCTGACAGGCCGATTTCCATTCAGTGCAAAATATCGCGAGATCAACTTTTTGCGATCACTTTCTTTTAAAACGCGTTCAGTCAACCTGATCTGTTGCGTTTTATTGCTTGTATTTAAAAAAAAGTGATCGCAAAATGTCGATCGCGCGACATTTTGCACTGAGTGGAAATCCGCTTTTATGGTCCGCAAGCGCTTATAAATTTTGATACAACTGGCCTGAAACTTAACATATTGATTCAATAAGTTTAATATCAATATATTAATTGAAAAATAGCTATTATGTCAAAATAACAAAACTTTTTCAAACTTTTCGCGACTGTTCATCTGTAGTTGCAACGAACGGTAATAACAAGGTCAACAGGTCAAGGTTTTATCACTGATTGACCATTCGAAGTAAACGAATTATGTTTATATTTTCCTACAAATGTACCTTCATTGTGGCTTACTGAAAGTATAAAAACCCGTGGAAACCGTGAATTACTATAATAGATTGAAAATAATTATTAAACTATGATCTCGACTATGACTGAAATTATCGAAGTAGAATGCTATTTCATTGTATTAAATTTTTTTAGTTCATACTATTTACAGAATGTGATGTAATTTTGAAATTTGAAGTTTTACACACAATATAACTGAGTGCTAGCACAATGGCTTCGTTTCAATTTGAGCATATAAAAAAATTAGAATTTTGATAACGTGGCCTTTCGTAAACATAAACGTCTGATGATTGATAAATATTAAAATATCAGTGCGAGCACAATTAAGGCACCAAAATAATAACAAATAACAGAATATAAGCTAAATTAAAAACAGCAAAGCTTTACCTACCTCGATCTATTTTTCTAAGGCGCTAAATTACGTAAATTTTCGACGAAAACTCAATATTTTCTTTGCGCTTCCTCGACGAAAGCCGTGAACAAAAGCGTGCATATTTTATAAAGTTTCAACTTTCACATCACATGAAAATGGTCAAAATGCTCGTCGAAAAAACTCGGTATTTGTCGCATTTTACTAATCTATCACGTGATTTACCACCGCCGGTACAACGCACACGCGGACACGAAATTTAACAAAAAGTAGTCAAAAATTACTCGCTATTTGTAAATTGTAGTTCGTGACAGCAGCGAAACGTAAAACATTACAGAACAGCGAACATGCAGATTCGGCCGTCTCAAATAATGATAATGTTGGGATAGTAGAGTTGCAGACTGCAGAGGAGAGTGGGCAGTAAGGCTCCCTCATGCACCACCCCATGGAAAACCTACACCCCTCCTTGCACATGAGACTAGATCCTCCCCTGCAAGTGAGTCCTTACAGTCTTACTGGAAATCTCACATCAGAGGGCAGATCTGGTCACATTTGTTAGAGAGATGGTGGTTTTCCAGAGTTGGTCCGGGGCCATTCTCCCCCAGAAAATTTTTGAAATTTGAAGCTCTGAAGTTCCACCCTTGGTTCACATAACCGGTAGTTCCACCCTTGGTTCACATAACCAACAACCTCTTACAGTTTCATAAATACCTGCATTTTTTAAACACTCGGCAAGTTCTTTACTCTCTCCGTATAGCATTGCAATTTGATACGGAGTTCTATCGTCATGGTCCCATGCGTTCATGTCTGCACCATTTTTCAACAACACCTAAACAAGAATTATACAGGATATCATTAATTGAACAAAAAAACAAAATGTTTACAAAAACCTGGAAGTTATAATGGCAGTGAGGCCAGAATGAGGGGAAGCATGATCATCATGTAATTAATTGGCACGCCCCATCCAGTGCCGCCGAGAGGAAGGCAGGGAGGACCCAACTCAAAAGCTCCTCCCCCAAAATAAATTTATGTGGAAAAACGTATGATACGATTTATTGTGAAAAACGATTTTTTGACCTGGCATGAATCATTTTCATACCGTGACTACATCATACCTTGAGCTGCCCCCAAAACCAGGAGACCATCGGAATTGACTGTAGACAAACTCACAATCCGAGTGTTGTTTTGCGATAAATGTATTTCTAACTAAAAAACTTTTACAACAACAACATGTTATATGTCATGCAAATTAGAATAAATCTAAATAACCTAAATTGTCTATTGTCCTAAATTGAATATAAACCAACTAATGTCAAAAACACTATTAAGTAACGACCTATTAATGACACTCCCACTTTTTTGACATTTTTAAATGTTAAACAATAAGTTCTAGTCCAAGAGCATATCGTTTGGCAACTTGCCGCGCTTTGAAACGATTTACTCTTCCATCAGAATCGTGCTTCGCTCTGAATACCCATCTGCAACCAATAGCTGTTCGACCAGGTGGCAACTGTACAAGTCTCCAGGTCTTGTTTTCCATCAGTGAATTGTATTCTGAGTCAGCAGCAGCCATCCATTCTTTCGAGTGTTGGTTTTCTTTAGCTTTGCTCATGGACGAGGGTTCTTCTATCTCACATACATTGTAAGCGACATGACGTGCGGGATGTACAGGACTAGCAGTCTCTGCATACTCGTCGTATCCATATCTGACAGGGGCTTTCCGTGTTCTACCAGAAGTCCTTGGTTCTGTGGATACTTCTCCCAATTTTTCTTCTTCGAATTCCACCGTTTCTTCTTTCACGTCTTCTGTCGTTTGATCTTGAGATTTTGTCGTCATCATTTCATCCTTGTCGCCAAAATCGTTTTCATTGAACTCGACATCCCTTCGGACGACCATCTTTCGCTTGATTTCATCGAACAAACGGTATCCTT